TTACCGTATTCTCCTCTAGTGACGGTACTAGATCTGATTATATGCTTCATGCATATTCAAAGTATGGCACTGACAGCTCTTTAATGAGCTCTTACTTAATCAGTACGAACAATGTTCATCTTGTTCTTTTTTTCCTCATACATTAGAGCTAGGAACAGTTGGGGAAAAAAATGAAACATCCAGCATTCATTTGAAAAATATATTGTACTTTGAAAAGTGTCTAAGCTGGGGAAGTTGCATTCTGCCCTTTAAAAGTCTGATGGACAAATTGGATTACTAGTATTGGATTAAATAACAAATGGTTAGAGGAGAAATGAGAAAAGCTCGCTGTGATCACAGGCTTTAATATTTTTTGTTACTTATAAAGCTGAAGGGGTCTTTAACCAGTTATTAAAGTCAGGATTAATTTGTAATGGTCCAAGTTACTAGCTTTAAAAGGTTTTTTTTCATTAAAAAAATCTAAAACAATGGTGTAATGCATGTATTATAGAAAAAACATTTTATGTTTAAGATCTGTGGGCTATTTATAGATTTTCATCATCTTGTACTGGCTCAGATAAGAGGTTTGCACATACATTATCGATTTGTTCTCAAACATGTTTTTCGCTTCATTTAAATAATCTGTATTGTTTCTCCAGAGAGCAACATAGATATTTTCTCATTTTGAATTTTCAAACATTTGTAGCAAATTATTTAAATACTCATTTTACATTTTATAAATGGGAATAAGCAGCCGTAGCAGTTCAGTTGAGCAGTTTTACTAAGTGGAAGTGTGAAATGAATTGGGGAGGGGAGGGTGGTAAGGGTGAATCCTGTGTTTTTATTTCATTTAGCAATTGCAAGCGTGCTTTTAATTTACAGATATCACTACTCTATCAGCATGCTATTTTTCTTGACTGGAAATGTTTTTTATTCACTCTCCCACTGAAGAAAATAATGCTGAATTTAGTAAATTAGCTAATACTGTGGTGTTTGAAAATATCAATTTTAAAATTATTTATGTGGCAGTGAGGCTTACTGTATTTGTAGTGAAGTATCTATTTTAGATGTATGTACAAGAATTTAAAAGCCCTCGGTCAAAAAAAAATCACAATCTGTTGCTATTAATATTGCACACATGTGTCATTTCACTGATCAAAAAGGCCTTCACCAGGGTACAATTGGCCTTTTTCCAAATTGCAAGCTTTTTCTCAGCTTTTTCTTTTTACTCTTTCTTCTTTTGTTGCTGCCCGGGGATTTGTGCCTATCGCAGTCGATATCACATGACTGGTGTCAGGGCATCACATGGTCCAAAGTGAATACAAAAACAGCTACCCCAAAAGATTAAAAATACTGTAAAACACTAAAGACTTTGTTGACTCACTTTTCAAAAAAAAACCCTTTTTTAAGCACGTCAGCATAAATATAAGCATAAAAATATTGAAGGTACACATCTGTTTTTAAGATCCCGATAGATAGATACAACTTTTACTGAGATATGTTTGAATTATGTGCTGCAGTTAACTTTACTTGTAGAAGAAAAATTTCTATGTAGAAGTAGAAAGCCTTAGCATCTTATATTACGTTCTCGCCCTAGAACATTGGTCATGGTAAAACTAAGGGTTAGAGTCACAGCTGGTCTAAACCAGTAGAACTACAGTAAAGGGTTTCTGGTGTGTGTGTGTGTGTGTGTGTGTGTGTGTGTGTGTGTGTGTGTGTGTGTGTGTGTGTGTGTGTGTGTGTGTGTGTGTGTGTGTGTGTATTAAAA